GTACTAGAGTATCAAGTTTGATAGATTGTGGTAGGATGTAAAATTCCTTGATTTCCTTACGACTTACGCATGGAAGGGTTAACCACATCTACAAATCTATGAATCGAAGAGGATCGTTATGATCGAAAAAATATGCATTATAATTGAGAATAAAATATTAAAACTTCGCATATTCATTGAGAAATTTTTTTAACTCTTTCATGCTTGGTGGTACATATGTTGTACAACTAGTTCTTATTCGTTTATTGTTCGGTGGTATATAGAATGCACCACTTGTTTGAATACTTCAGAAATTGATGGTAGATGGTACATTCTTTGAACTACCCCAGAGATCAACTCCTAGCTGTTACTCAAGTTTCCAACAGATGTCAGAAGCTCATTGTGTGCAATGAGTTTATGCAGTTGTCCATTCTTTGATCAGCAGCGAGTCTGTTGAGTGATATGTTTTGGAAGTGTCTGTGTTGTGTATTTTAAGTGTAGAAACTAATTATTGTGCTATTTGAAACAATCCAGGTAAGTACATATATTTTGTAGTTAAATAAGTCAATGTTGTAATAATTAGTACCTCACATGTGCATTGCTAGTATGAAAATATGAGAGTCCAAAAAAGTGTACCACAACGTTAGTGAAGGCCATCTTCTTTACAAATACAAAATGCATTCCGCTTATTTTTTCGCAATAATGGACATGTTTATTGTGACAATATATTTGTTGTAAGTTATATTTTTTTAAAAAAAATAATAATAATATTTAATAATAATAGTGTATACACACAAAATTATATAAATATCCTGAATGAGCTATAGCTCGCGTGTTCAGGAAAAAAAATAAATACAACTAATACACTTATTATATATGTTGACAAAATAAAAACTAGGCTAAATAAAATAATGTAAATAGAATAGTATATCTAAAATTAAAACTAACATTAGGTAAATTAGGACTAAACTAAAAATTAAGCTTGCAACATTAGATTAGAAAAAATTGAAAATGTTTTATTAAATAAAATGAATAACAGTATACGACGAAGTGTATTTATTTATTTTCCAACTATAAAATAACTAGCTAAAGCTATTATTGGGCCTAGGGAGGAAAATTCATGTTTCATGCTGGTGGTACAAAATATGTGTCACTTATTTTTTTAAAATTTTGGAATCCTTTATTTGAAAAAGATTTAATATTATTAATGTGTACCAGCTTTTGTTCAATAATTATAGTTTTGTGAGATCTATCTAAAATATTTGTAATTATTTCCCTCTAGTGCATTATTTTTGTCAAAATTTAAGCGCATGAAAGAGTTAAAAATAACTTGAGATTTCTACATATACACGTATTATGAAGGAAAATTTCAGTAAAATAATTATATAATGTTGAAAAATTCAACGTAGATAAAAGATATTTATTTTTTACCCGATGCTCCTTCCCACCACGATACAAATTCTTATTTTAATGGAAGGAACTGAAGGTGACTGACTACATTAGAAAGCATGATTTTAAAAAAGAGTACAAACGGATAAATTTTTTGATGTTTATTGTCAGTTGTATTAAAAAATATATATAAAATTATATATATATTCTAATTATACAAGAAAAACGTATTTTTTTCTTCATTTTTTTGTCAAAAAAGTGCATTTTAATAAGTTGTTTTGGAAATAATCTTAAAACAATTTGATATGTATATTCCAATTCAACTGACACTAAATATCAGAACAGTATTTATTTATAAACCTATTCAAAATCACCGTTCTGAAAGCAGTCAGCCAGTTTAAAAAATGCTATTTTTCCATTCTGTTAAATTACACTAATTTGAAAACTAATTATGAAACTCTTCGCAGTTTTAATCAATATATACAATCCATTTCAATTTTTTTTTTTAATCGCAAATAAATGATGAAAAAAGTTTTTCGAATCCTTAATCCAATACCAAACAAAAATAGTTTGCGAGATTTCTTCCTATTAGTTCAAGTTCTTTAAAAATAAGCTATATAGTTTAATTTCATGTAAGTGTATTAATATAATAAATAATTTTAAACCCATATATAATTGCTTACCCAGAATAGTCCACAAAGTTGGCATTTGAGACTGTGATAGCACATAATGCTAATAAAATAGCCTGAAAACCGATCATTTTGCTTATGGAATTCTAGTTAGCACTAAGAACTCTTGATAAAAATAAAGAGAATCAGGGTCTTTTTATAGATATTACAGATTCCACCTAACGTCATCGCAAATTGATAAATTCGGATAACCATATCGTGTAAATTTATCGATATCTTTTTATTTATGCAATCAAATATAAGGTGTAATGAAGAAAAACACAATTGATTCTTGAAAATCCTATCTGTCAGAACACTCCTTTTTTAAGTAAAGGGATGGATGTGATAAACTTGAATGAAATACATTGAACTATTTCCTATCTTAGATCTCCTGAAAGTATAGTAGTTGCTATGGAAACAATAGTAAAGAAATCTTGATGGAATTAAAAGAATAGATACTTGACAGCTTTCTTACATCACAATTAAATGTAAATGTTATCGTAGTTTATATAAAATTGCTGTGTCAATACTTGAGTTGAATTATTTATGTATCAAGGTTCTGTATCAAATGCAAGATATTTTGTTATAAGCGGTGTTAATTCAAAATATTTTATATATATTAATAAGTTATCTTTTTTTTTTCTTTTCTTTTCTTTTTTTTAAAATTTTATGTTAGTTATATAATTTAAAAGTCATTCACTTTTTTTAAAAAAGAAAATAGATAAAGAAAAGAGATTATTAATTATACTTAATAATTATATTGGATTTAAAAATATCAGCACAGGCTTAAGAAAACTGTTATAAAATCAAGATAGATCAATACAATAAGAATATGCCTATTTTGAAAATATGTGTTGTGTGTTTTTGCTTATGCCGCCTGATAGACTGCAACATCGGATCATGGCCCACGAAAATCATCGTGTCAAAGGGCTTGTAGTACGCCTGTCGTTAGCAGTAGCTTTGAGCACCTTGCAGGTGACAGCACTATTCGCCTCTATTCCACCCCAATTTAGAGGAAGAACACACAGGGGGTACAGTCAGAGACCTCCCACCTCTCTTCCCCTTCCGCCAACCTCATGAGAAGTCTTGAGACTATTAACATTCTGTCCCATGCAGCAAAGGCACTATACATTTACAAACATCCATGTTTTCTCCGGGTATCGATCCTGGGTCCTACGGCACTGCAGTCAGCATCACTAACCACTATACCGGATGGGCCGCTTGAAACTATTTTAAAAGAATTATTTTATTTTTAGTCATAAATGAAAGTTTAATTGAATGAGTGAGTGAGTTAATGTTGACGGATCAGTTCAGCTTCACGAGGGATTTGAAATCTGAATTGAAATACCGATACAATTAAAATAGTTTACATCTCCAGAATAGCAGATTACTATTGAAAAATTTATTTAAGAAAACAACAAGAATTACAAAATATGTATATAAGCCTAAATATAAATATAGTATGTGTGTGTGTGTGTGTGTGAATGTATATTTGCCTGTGTAGCTGTGTTTGTGTTACTTACAGATATAAACTTGAAAAAATTAATTTCAGGCAAGAGAAATATTAATATATTTATTCTGTAATGGCCAAATTAAGAGGACATGGTACGTTTTAAGCAAAAAATTTTAATTTAAGGATTTTTAAAATTTTTTTGGTTGCCTCCTATGTATGTATACAATGTTAAAGAAATTTTGTGCTCAAAATTTCATAAAAAGCTATCCATGTAATTTTTTAAGGAAAAAACTTCAAATTTGTGAAGTGATTTTAAAATGCTACTCCTCCTACAAAAATTTACGTACACGCATGAAATTTTATTTACAAGTACGTCAAACTATGTATAATAACACTTTGCATGGGTTTTGCGTTAACGTGATTGGTATTCTTACAATACTTCTTTTTATGAATGTTTATTGAAAATTCCTTAAAAAATGTATAAATTCTAAGTTTAATTATTTTAAAAAAAATAAATATTGCTTTGATTCAAAAATGCATACCAACTTTTGTTACATGTACTATTGGGAATAGGTAAAAAAAAATTCAAAGCATTAGGCGCAATAGAAAAAAGCCTTAGCATTTTAAATGAAGACAAAATAGTTATTTTATCTTTCTGAGATACGGCAGTTTTAAAGTTTTGACTTGCCATAGGGATGTGAATAAAAATAAACGTAAAAGCTATCATAATTCTGCGTTTTTTAAGATTAGAGCTTTCAAATTTTGTGAGGTTATAGGAAAGCATATAAAAAAGATTAGGCTAAAAAAATTAAATTTGATTTTTTGACCGATTTTGGTCAATTGAATCGTACTGTGTCCCCTTAATTACGGCTTTGAAAATTTCAACCATTTTTTTATTTTCATATTTTTTGTTACATTTTCAAAGTATTATTGATATAAATGAAAATTTTATTAATATCTACAAATTATAAAATCAATAACAAAACCTACTTTTAAAAGCTGCTTTAATTAACTATATTGCTAAATGTATTATTATATGAGATGTTATGTGTTTTATTGTATTAGAGTTAAAAATATTGTGATGATACAGATTCTCTAAATGTAAAGTTTTATAATTTTTAATATGTAGCCTGATGATTTATTTATGAAGATGTATATTTACACTAATTTTAATGGAATAATAAAAATAGTGTTTGAATTTATATGTCAAATTACTTGTTATTTTTGTGATCTTTCTAAAAACAAGTAATGTAAAAAACATTTTAAAGTCAATTCCTACTTAAGTCAGCAAAGAAAATTTTTATTTTAATTACTTTTTATTAAATAATTACAATTAATATAAATAAGTATTTAGACATGACAGAATCACAGTATTAAATGGCAAAATGAAATGCATTTTTCCTTTCTATATATGGTGTAGGACTATTAGAGAGAGAGAGAGAGAGAAAGAGAGAGAGTTTTGTTTGTGTTACTCTTTATTCATTCATAAATAACATTCTCAGAAATAAGGCCATCCCAAGTAGGATTCGAAAACACTACGTTGGATTAAAAGTCCAACGCGCTATTCATTGCGCTACAGGGACACAACGAGTGATTTTCCTTTTTATATAAGGTGTTGGACTAGCATTTCTGTTTGTTACTATTGATTCATTAAGTTTAACTAATGAATTAATATTTGGAAAAACTGTATTAACATCAAGTGTCCTCCACTACAAGTTTAAAAAATGTATTTATAAACTTCAGTGGATGAATAAAAAGTATTTTATTAACGATTGAAAATGTGAACAAGATATATATATATATATATATATATATATATATATATATATATATATATATATATATATATATATATATATTTATAATGTATCCTCTGCTATTCCCAAATCATTACTGCACACTCTTGTACATAGGTGTACAGTCGACTGGATGTAATGTGGTAGAAGCAGTTGAATAGTGTGAGAGATATTTTCATAGGAAATTTTAGACCTATCATCCTCATAGATGTTGTTATTGTTGCTGTTAGTTATTATTGCGGAAAGTGAGTAAGTGAGTGAATATTAACGTCGCACTGCTCAGATACACGAGGGCTTTTGGCGACGGACCACGTAATTTTGAACCATGGTCAAGTGACGAGGACGAAACCTGAGCTGGCACCCCCTCTCCTAACTACCACATCACACCAACGGGAGAACGTTTGAGCTCTCGACAGATTTAACGTGCATCGCTGGCCTACACGGTGGGTCTTTAGTGGTACTGGGTTCGATTTCTGGACAAAACCATCCACGATCCGATGCCTTGACCACTCGGCTACCTCGGCCACTTTATTCACGGAAAAGGGCTAGTGTATGTGTATAGTTAACCACAGCTGTGATCACCATACAAATCACAGTACGGTTTGGATGGGTTCCACGGCAGTTCTTAGAGCTAACACCCCGGGGGCAGAAACCTCCCATTTCCACCAATCTCATGAAAGAATTTGCGGTTCGACGGCTATTTAGAGTACCCCCACGCCGCCTAAGGCACTGTGCATTTGCAAATATCCATCCCTTTTCTGGGATTCAAACTCATTTCTAACAACACTGTAGTCTGCGTCTCTAACCACTAAGGCTACACATCCTCATAGAATAACCCATGATGTTTATGCGTTGTGAGAACATCATTGTAAACCAGGTACACCCCTTCGAGGTAACATGAAGTACCGGGCTGGTAACGACGCTTATCAACAGGGTGATACATCACGTCATAAAGGTCGAATTGCCAAGAAGTGGTTCAAAGAATTTTCTGGTGAGTATCAAGTCATGTCTTGTCATACGGATTCTCCTGACATGAGCCTAATCAAACATTCGTGGTTCCACTTGAAGAACCGAATTCCTGCTGACACTGTCACCTCGAAATTGCAAGACCAAATAGTAAATGCTTCGTATCAGATACCTTAAACTACTCATCAAAACGTTGTTAAGTCAATACCCCCTCCCAAAGTAAATTTTTATTTTTAACAGGATGTTGGTGTTTTGAGGATGTGAAAAAGGGACTCCTACTTCATATTAAACAGATTGTGACGGGCTCACGCGTCTTTTCATTAACATATCCTTTGGGTTCTTTGGTGCCAGAATGAATGGCAACTCTTTTCCAACCAAAACCCAAGAAGTGAAGCGTGAATAAAAGATGCAAATTAGAAAGCTTTTAAATATCAGAAGTTAGAGTAAGTGGTGCGGCAATTTGGGGAATGTTATGATAGAGTGTGATACAATTGTGAAGTGACAGCCAACAGAAGCTATTCTGGTGATAGAGCCATTAGGTCAAGGTGCATACCATTGCACTTGAGTAAAAACGCAACTTCTATTAAGATTGGATCGATGACCGAAGTTAAGGTAGGATTGGCTATTTAATATCAGGATCCGAGATATTATTGGAATTGAGTTTAGGCGTGTTAGTTATTGATAGTGATCCGGGTTAAGTTAATTCGGTATTATCTATATTGTGTGTTTTGTCTCTCATATATATTATTATCATCTAATCTGTTAGACGTTTAAGGTCTTAATAAAGACAAATTAAGATCATGGAATCTTCTAGTGCTTTCGTTAATCCTACACCTCTAGCTCGCGCTGATAATCAAGGAGGAGGGTCAATTTCACAAGATGATCATAACATAATGGCTTATCAGCATATATATATGATAATTTGGTTAAATATTTTCTCACTGAATTTGAATTCATAATGATCTTTACTATTCCAAAACTATGCGTAATAATTAAAATCTAGTTTGATGCGTCTAACTTAAAATTACCATAACCCTATCTCCAAAAAACTAAAACTTCAGCGTTTTTAAATCTATATGATGCAATCTTGCTTCACCCGTGTATGTGGACCAATCAGAAAACATTTAACGAGAATCGTAGGATTTTAATAGCTTCCGGTTGACCATGACTATAAATGGACCAGAACTTGAGGGCGAACGTTGAATGCTTTTCTGATTGTCTTAAATGGGCTCTTGCTTGTCTAATTGTATTCGTGCTGTTCTTTTCGTAAAGCCGTTTGTTCGCCAATAAAATATGGATGTTTGACGTCAGAAAGCCTCCTCCTCTTTTCTACGACTGGATCAAGATCAAAAATATTTGAATATCAAAATGCCTAAATCAAGTCCGTGATATTACATATCTATATATACTAAATATCCATTATATTACAGAAATTTAGTAAATATAAGTGAGTGTATGCGTATGTGTTTACATGTAATAAGCATTTAAGTTTGTAAATTAATAATGCAAAAACTTGAATCAGTGTAGCAGTAGAATTTGAAATTTTTCCGAGACTCTGCAAAAATACTTAAGTATTTATATAGAAAAACAAAAATAAATTGTTCCATTTGAAACATTCTATCACTCTAAAGTAGCCATTCCTAATAAAATAGTTACTTTAAAATAGCAGAAAACATTTTGAGATCAACTTAAAGTGAAAGGCAAAAGATTCGAGGAAAAGGTTGTTCATTTATAATTTACCTTCAAAGCAAAATAAAGAAGTTTTGTTTTTCTGTGACTTAAAATATAAATCCCTTACATTTCTTTCAAGTGTTTTAAAGGTTTACTCGCAAGTGGAAAAACAGGTACATACATTATGCATTCAGTTTTGAATAATGCTTTTAGATTTCGTAAGTACGAATAAAACCTGAATAACTAAAGTTAAAATGTAATATTAACTTTTCTGTATATGCTTTTTAATATGTAAAAGTTCAAGCTAAATTTTTAAAATACTTTCACTTATGTTATTTTTAATTCGAATTTTTAGCAAATATTATTATTTGCACATATACAAACACACTCATATATAAATGTGTGTGTGTGAAATTGCAAACATTTAACAACAAAATTTTAACTTTTATTAAAATTAACTTTATTTGAAATCAGTTTACCAATTAAGTTTCTTTTTGTAAAAAATTCATTATTGCTTAAAAGACAATAATGAACTTTAAAGGTAACACACATAAATCAATATTTACATCATAATGAGTATTTTACACTGTTTCTTTTTTTAACATTTTAATGGAATAATTACTAAATTAACGTAATCAAATACCTTCAGAAATACAGTATTACAAAGGATTACAAAGTAAAAAAAAAAAAAAAAAAAATTAGTCATGATAGGATTACGAATATTCACAATATATTTCCAGAACTTTTGTTCTGCACTTCTGGTGGAAATGAGTTGGTGAAAACTCAGAGACCAATTTATGTTAAGTCCCTTGAGAGCCATTCTTAGGATCTTTCTCTCTCTGTCAAACGTGTAAAAAAGAAACAGGACGTGCTGTACATTTTCCTCGCCTCCAATATTACAACAGCAGGAAGATGACGGAACCAAATCAAATTTGTTCAAATAGCTTTTAAAATTACTGTGACTAGAGTTATTTTGTAATTAGTATAAAAATGATGGCATGACAGTCTCTTATTAATAGTTGGAAAAATTTCTTTGATAAGCACCCTTTAATCGAAATTAGATATTCTTGGTTCCAAGACTTCACCATTCTTTCTTTCGTAATCTTCTAAAAGGAGTTAGGGCAATGTCATTTTCGCCCTTGGAGACAGCCTTTGCAAGCTAATAGGCCCGTTTATTTCCAATAATGCCCCTGTGTCTGTAAACAAATGTAAAAACTATCGAGAGGTTTTTATCTTTGATTCTTTTAAGTCGCTTTTGGATCTCGACGATTATATAGTTAGACAAAGAAATACACCTCAGAGAATTCAAATATGAGAGTGATTATGTACAAATAAGATAGTCTGAGAGGACACTTTTTTGTTCAGTGATCCATTTAATGGTGAAGTTTAAATATAAAAGCTCAGCTATAAAAACTATGCATTCATCACGAATTCTAAATTGAAAGTGCTTGGATTCAACATCGCTACTGAAGACAACAAATGCAAAACCAACTGTGTCATCAATTTTACTGCCATCAGTATGGCAAGTAACAGGGAAATCATTTGTGGTTTTGTCACTAAATTGATTAATATTGATAGCGTTTCTCTCTGAGGGATGAGGGAGAAAAAAATGGAGACAGAGAACAATCATAATAAGAGATGAAAGAAGCAGAGAGATTTTCCCTATAGGTAATATTATAAAGAATAGCAATGTCGATTGGAGGGAAGCCAGAAGTAGTATAAACTGACTCTTAACTTATGGTACGATATCCCCATATGACCCGCAAAAATATTTTTCTTTATATATGTCGCAAATATTTAGAATTTCTTTTTTTTTTAAGTGCCTTTTGATTCGTAATCGAAATCAATTTTAGAAAACCATGATTTTTATTCTTATTCCTTGTGTGCGAAGTGTTTTAAAATAATAAATCGTAACATGATGTAATCCACAAGACATTTTTAAAGGAATACATTATAATTTTAAGATTTGAGAAACAAAAATCTGTATTATCCCCATGTATTATAACAATCCCCATGTATTATAACAATCTTAACTTAAATGTACTTATAGTGTTCTAATTAAAATTCTTATAAATAGAAGTTGGATGCATTCTAACATTAATGAAGTTATACATCCGACTTGTTCCCTAGATGCCATTTAGGCGCAGAAA